ATGGATGAAATAAGAAATATGAAACAAATAAAATAAAATGCATACAAAGCAGAACACAGCAAAATGTATTAAAAGTAATAATAAGTCTATGTAATATTAGAATTTTAGTTTTTCATTGTTTTTACTGTAAGAGGTTTTTATTTAATAGAACTTTTGGACAAAAAAATCGCAATAAATCGCCTTGCTTATATCCTCGTCTCGCAATATATCGGGATATATCGTATCGTGACCCCTCTGTCATGATATGTATCATATCGCCAAATTCTTGCCAATACACAGCCCTAGTATTTAGAAAGGGTGCAACGATACAGAAAATTCACGATTCGGTTCGATTCAATATTTTCATGTCACGGTTCAATATTTTTTAATACAAAAAAGAGAAATGTCCACGCCCTTTTTAACTTGTAATTTAATTAAATTAATTATGAACATGTGTTTAACCTAAAGGTAAAATTGCTGAAACAGCAAGTTTCTCAGTGGATCTGCGCTCGAAAATGCAGCCTATAGGAGGAGCAGTCGAACACAGATCCACTGATCCTTCAACACAGAGCATCTTCAAAGGAGAAGCTGAGAAAATAAAATTTAAAAATCTGTATTGTTCGATACAAGTGTGTATTGGACCTGAAGCAGTGTATTGAACGGTTCGATACGGGTACATGTATTGTTGCACCCCTAGTATTTAGAGATTAAATCTTTGAGGGAAAAAAAAGCTAAGATTTAGAAGCTAAGCTGCAGCAGGGGAGGAGAAGCAGCAGCAAACCAACCACTAACCATGGAGACAGCTGTGTTATTTGCGTAGCTTCGAAACCACAACATATAAATACATTTTCTGTAATGGTACACTTGTTTCATGTTATTTGTTGCCTGACCACTAGAGAAAAGGGAACTGGACAACACTTAGTTTTGTTATAAGTAGAGTATTTCAAGAAAATCTATGGTCAAAACTCTACTTTAAAAGACAATCAATAATTAGTTTTTGACCTCTAATGGGAACATTTGCATTGTTGGAGCAGCAGCATGGCTGACAAACAAATACTTAAATACCTTCTTATAAGTTTCTAATTTTGCCCCAAAAAGGACCAAGGGAGCCCGGATACACAGACAGGTGCTTTTCTGTGTTGTAGGAGAAAAAYCCAGCCTGATATAAATCGTTCTCTGTGGGGGGACAAAGCTGTAAATTCCAGAACCAGAAGTATAAACAGAGACTCCAAAACGCTGTCATGGGACGATTTGATTYGTTTGTGATGATGAGCACTGGATTTGTTCATCCAACCAGGTTTACAGCGGCCTGTTTTGTCAGTAAAGAGCATGTGATTGGGTGGATTTGGGGTCCCTGCTCAGTGAACACTGAGGACTTCAACTTTGCCAACAAGAATTTAGCACGGATTATACATCTGCTTTGTATGCAGCCTGCTAATGTTTCATGGACTAAAACTGCCATGAACAGAGCACTTTCCCCTCCTTATGTCCTTGTGTCTTTTTTATTTTCACATAAATTAGCTGCAAAATGAATTTGGYRCAAGTCTTCCAGCAATAGGAACCTTTGGAAAATGCACAATCAAAGACCCCTCCTCTCCTCTGAAGCCCCCAGCCTTGAATTAAAGCTAACACAGCTCTGGAGCATCAATGCATTTAGGGCTCGTTTTAATCTGTTTATCACTAAAAGTCACTGCTCAGAGCCGTCAAAAGTCCTCACTTCAAAGCCAATGGACTGAGAAAACGGAGCTCAGATGACATTATTCATGAAAATGAGAAGCGACGTTGTACAGCAGAGAGGTGAGGTAGTCTTACAGGCTGTTTTTAAAACCAATGATCATTAAAAGTCAAATTAAAACAAGKTTTTTGATACGATCAAGGAGAGATGAAAGCTCCTGAAAGAGCATCGGTTCAAAAAARGAAATAGACTGGAAATATCCTTAAACTCTAGTAATGTGTGACTGCATCAATCAAAACATAAACCCATGGATAACAGCTTGAAGCTCTGAAAAAATACATGAAAACCAGTTTCGTCTGTGAAAAAAACTGACCTTTTCATTGCACATCACTTAGAAATACAAAATATAACTAGAGAATTTGCATTTTCTGTGAAAAGGCAACGCGGATGCTTAATGCAGAAAGGTTTTTGCAGAAAAAAAATGTATTTGTTGTAAAATAGATAAAAAAGCTGAAAATAGCAGAAATGTGGCTGACAAAGTTGATATAAAAAAGAAAACTAAAGGGCATTTTTTTGCTGAAATAAGCACAAAAACATGAATTTAGTGGAAAAAACTTTTTGCCAGGAGAAAAAAAAAAAAAAAAGGAGGTGGAGGAAGCTTGAATTAGCACAAAGAGGTTGAAAAGGTAGAACAAGAAAAAATATGTGCAATAAACATTTCTAATGATTTTCAAGGATTTTCAGGATGTTGAAAACAGCTCCATTCACTTTCAGTGTGGACAAAAAAAATGTCAGAAAAAGCTGAATATCTCAAAAACTATTAAATGCTGAAAAAWCAAAAGTTATAGCTGTAAYGTCCTGAAGGAGGTGAACGTTTTGGTATATAAATTACGGAAATAGCGCAAAATTTGCAGAATGAATAAATGCCAAAAAATGTRCAAAAGAAAAATGGATCATCTCAGCAGTGTGAATGCTTGATAAGCATCYATTTCAGAGGATGAACTACCAGAATAAAAAACRAAGCAGCAATTCTTYTATTAACAAGCYGACCTTTGAGMTTKTACGTCCTAAAAGCAGAACTCAGAACCAAATCCATAAATCTGAACTYTCAACACATGTTGGTTGCAGAGCAGAGCAGAGCAGCCGGACAGATAAGAGACAGACAGGTGCACTCAACTGTTAGTGTTGTTAGTTCAAAACAAATGGATGGGTTTGTCTGGTTTGTGCAGCTCTTTCAGGCTGCAGAGCTGACGCCAAATCCATCCACGCTGCAGCCAAAACACACCGACAAGTYGTTTCTGTACATATTTTGCATTTGGAGCGTTTTAATTGGTAACTAGGTTGTTTAAAATCWGTGGATGGATGAATAGTTCGGAACAAAATCAAATGCATTAAAATCATTCATCTTTGGTAACAGTTTGACAAAAGATTAATACAACAGTGTGTTAGGATGAAAAGTWTGTCTCTAGCTCCATGTTTAGATATAAAATCAAATATGATAGAGTCAGTGGGGAAAYGACTTAAAAGTTACAGAGAAAAGATTTAACTTTTCCTTTTTTAATGACCTTCCAGTAAGCCTGGAGTGTCCAATCCTGGTCCTGGAGGGCCACTACCCCTGCATGTTTTAGAGGTYCCTCTGCTCCATTAYACCTGATTTGAATAGATTGTGTATTCGAACAGAGAAACTRGTAAAACATGCTCACAGATTAGGATTGGCGCCCCTGATGTAAGCTCTTTTTCATCAAACTTATAGGCCACTTTCAAATTAGACATATGTTTTAATCTCTACAGCTATAAAATTCAGCCACTAACAGACATCTGGCGCATTTGTGAAAACATCCTTCTATAGTCTGATCAAAAGCACATTTTGACACGATAACAGACAGRCTTATATCGTAAAACAAAACTCTGCTGTGCTGCTTGACCTGCTGGRAAATTAGCAGTAAATTAAAATTCCCAGGTGGGTCCAGAGCAGGGATAATGCATCGTGAGCTAACAGCTGTTTGTTAAAAGAAAGAGTGAATAAGAAATTAACAAGAGCTACTATATAAAAGGTAGATGTTTCTTTTTTTTTTGGTTTGAACAAACAAACCAGTGAGAAGCTAATTAAACGAGAAAACTTTCTAAATAGCTTTTAGCCATGTTGATAGTGTAGCATAACTGCAGTGCATTTAATAAGCCAATAGATTCAAAAACAAAACTTTGCTTTTACTGTAAAAATATTACCAGCTGTTATTAGCTTTGAAGTTTCCAACTGTAAACCAAATCATTTGAAAAACTGAACTTGGTGTTGGCATGACACAATGTTGCAGAGATAAAAATAAAAACGATCTAAAAGTCTCAAGTATAAACTTCACGGTGCTCATAGAGCATCATAATCCATCCCACATTTATTGAGACATTCATGAAGAGAAATGTTTTTCGTCCAGAGCGATCGTGTTCGCAATCCTAATCTGAAACTTCTTTGTGGCGAGAGAGTTCTGAAAACTGGAAAGAGCGAATCCTCGCTGATCCATCCCATGTTCTGCACTCTGAACATGAGCTGTGRCCATCAGGCAGGAGATTTAAAGCTCAACGATGTAAACCCAATTGATTTCAGAATTTCTGTGCGTCTGGGTGAGTCGAGGACCGAAATAAGCTCAGAGAGTTTCTGCAGCGAAATGACATCATGCGAGGGGCTGAAGCGTTGGAATTTAGTTCTTTTTTATCGATTTATTTTTCTAAAACACATTTATTAGAATGGCTCCGTTTTCGGAATGCGAGTTTTAATTAGGCATTTTTAAAACCRATTAATATTTAAGTGCCAACAAATTACAAATGACAAAGTCCAAAATAAAGTAGTTGTCGACAGTTAATGTGAACCCCTGCCAATCAATCAACCCAGCCGTCTTTTTGACCCACTYCTTCTTCCTGGGTTGCAGGGATCTGGTGCCCAACAATGTGAGARGTGTAAAGACAAACAATGCAAACTGGAAGCTTTCCCTCTCACCCACACCTACAGACAATCTAGAGTTACCAGTTAACCTAACATAMGTTTCTGGTCTGTTTGAGGAAACTGGAGTACAGATAAGAACATGCAAAGGCCACGGGCCGTAAGCTGATCCTGCAACCTTCTCGCTAACCGCTGCGCTGCTACCTGCTAGTTGTTTGGAAAAAGATCTAACCACAGTGTCCTGATGCATCTCAGTAATCCAGGTAGAAAGTAGGTCCTCTGGATGGGTTCTTCTTTATTGAAACGTGTCGTCTCTCCTCCAAGAGACTTCTTCAGTCTGATGAGTTTCAGGTGAACTCAGCCTTAAAACAAGGGGAC